CCCTTCCAAAAACCTTTCTCCCAGGGATGATGCCATTTGCTACCCCCACTCTGGGACAGCAGATATTCAGGGGAGATGACAAAACAGTAACACAATTTCTTTAGTCTGTTCTTCCTCAGCGTCTGCTGCACGGACAGGTGCTGCCCCCTCTTCACATGGCTCCTGACTGAGATGCCACCTTGCCTGAGTTCTCTTCCTGCCTCCTGGGAGATCCTTCTCTGTCCCCTCTGTGGGACCCTTGTCCTCTCAACAGCCTCGAAATGCTGGAGTCCCTGAGACTCAGTCCCAGTCCACTGCTTTGTCCTATCTGCTCACCTAGTCCCACGGCTTTAAATGCTGACTATACATTGATTCTGCCCACACTTGCTTCTCCCATGCTAATGACTCCCCAGAGACCTAGACTCAAATCAAAACGCCTTACCTGAGGTCTCCACTTGAAATCTAACAGGCATTTCGAACATGTCCCAAACCAAACTTCTCACGTCCTCCACACACCTGCTGCCCTGCTTTCCAGTCTCAGTAAATGATGACACTGTTCATCCAATGGCTTGAGCCAGAAATCTGGGGGTCATTTGCACATTTCTTATTTGGGACCCTTCTCCCCTACTCAAACCATTAGGAATTCCTTGTGGCTGTATTTCCAACACATACCCCAACCTGAACCACTGCTCCCAATCTGCTGCCATCACAGTCTTGTGAGACACCATAACCTCTGGCTGAGACCCAGAGTTTCCAAATTGGGTGCATATACCCCAGGGAGTACACGAAATGACCGGCGAGGTGCAAAAAAGCGAGACCCTCTATTTACATTTGCTACTTTTATCAGTCTTTACGTTTTCCCGATTTCGTTTATGTTTTAAAATGATACAAGTTACAGCACCTGGGTGGCTCTGTCGATTACGCATCCAACTCTTGGTTTTGGCTCAGGCCATCATCTCATGGGTCGTGAAATCGAGCCCCGAATCAGGCTCTGCACTCAGAGCAAAGTCTGCTTGAGATGTTCTCTCTCCTTCTCCTTTTGCCCCTCCCCCAACTCACACATGTTCTCTCTCTCTAAAATAAATAAATACATTTTTTAAAATAAAATAAAACAGTACAAGTTATATTCATCTATTGGTCCCATACCCAACTCCCCATTTTCCTTTGGGAATAGAACCCCTGTGTTTTAAGTCGGTGCATGCCCGGCCAGCCAGCTAGTAAGGAGGACACTTCCCAGTCTCCCCCAGGGGCCATGGCCATGAACTCAGTCTGGCCAAGCTGCTGGCCCTGGAAGTGATGCACGCCACACTGGGCGGTTCTTTAAAGGGAAGGACTGTGCTCTCTCCTCTTGCTTCCCACTTGCTTCAAGGTAAGTAGAGAAGTGAGCCAGGGTTTGACTCCAGAGAGCACATTTTTTAAGCCATACCCATTTTGGTATATGTTTCCAAAAGATAAGGATTATCTATAAAGCAGAACCATGCCATTATCATAGCTAAAAAAAAACCTAAGGCCTTGATACAATCAAATATGCGGTCACCACTTAAATCTCTCTTATTTTTTCACTTTTTTTTTTTTGTTTGAATCAGGATCAAACAAGGTCCAAATATTGCAATAAATTGTAGGCTTCTTAAATCTCTTGACTTTTTAAGCTCCCACTAGCCTCTCTCTTTCTTCCCCTTATAATTTATTTATTAAAAAACCTGATCCCTGGTCCTACAGAACACCCCCATAGTCCATACTATCATTCCAATGGTACGGTTTTCTGGCAGCCAAGTCCTGTGCGTGAGTCAAAATTTATTTCTTAATTTGACTTATTTTAAGACATACAGAATCAGGATGATGTAATGGAAAAAAAAAAAAGGCTCCAGGATTCAAAGACTTAAATTCTATCTCCACTACATATGTCAACTTGGGGAAGCCGGCCCAGCTGGTAGAACTTGTTTCCTCACTCTTAAAAGGTAAACAACTTCTTATAAGGTAAGTGACTCCTGTGAGGCAGTCTGGAATGGTGATAGTGGGCAGCCAACAAGATGATTATTGGGGAGGGCCTGCCAGAGGGCAGCAGGCTGGTCCACATGAGTTACAATGTTTCACTGATAAAATAGAAAAAGTCTGGATTTAAAAAAAAAAAAATCAGCACTTAAAAAAGTAACACCTAGATTTTAACCACTATACCCACAAAAATTTATCTGTTATGATGCATGCAACTGTACAGAAAGTATTCAAAAATCATATTGGGAAGAAAAGAGATCCTAGACATTTATTGTCAAGAAGAACCATTACGATCATTAAATTTGGGCCCCAGATGCAGGGAAGAAAAACGTCCTCCAACACCTGCTCAGTGGGTCCCCAGGTATATGTCTCCTATGTCAGGACTACTCTAGGATTTATTTATTTTTAAAGATTTTATTTATTTAGGGGCACCTGGGTGGTTCAGGCTCTGAACAAATAAATATGTGAGCTCTGTCAAATAAATAAATAAAATCTTAAAAAAAAGATTTTATTTATTTACTTGACAGAGAGAGAGCCCAAGTAGGCAGAGGGGCAGGCAGAGAGAGAGGGAGAAGCACATTCCTTGCTGAGCAGAGAGCCTGATGTGGGACTCAATCCCAGGACTCTTGGAATCATGACCTGAGATGAAGGTAGACCCTTAACCCACTGGGCCACCCAGGTGCCTCAGCACTACTCCAGGATTTAAATGACCTAAGAATTACCTAGCACTGTTTCTCAAACTTTCAAAGTCTATAATGCAATGTGAACTATTAGTTTGGAGGGTGATGTAAAAGAAAGATGAATCACCATTATTGCATAACTAAGAGAGTCTGTTTGCAAATTAACAACCTCTATCATCAAGGAGAGGGATGAGATCATGACGATCTTTTCTCAAGGTATCCACAGGAAAGGGCATCTTACTTGGACATTCAATTCCAATGGTAAAGGTTAAGTGAAAACCTATGCAAGGGCAAAATGCTTGGCACAAGAAGCTTTTCAAGATTTCAACCATCTGGTTTATTCTGCACGCAATACCTTCTTTCTTTTGTTGGTTATGGGCATCTCTCTCTCTCTCTCTCTCTCTCTCTCTCACACACACACACACACACACCAAAGCCAAAAAAGCACACTGCTTTTGGTTTTTGTTCCCACAATAAGGCAACTATCTGCTAGCATCAAATTGCATTTCCACACCTTGGATATTATGTAACACCCAGTAAGTGGAATTACTAAAGACACGTTTGCTCCAAGCAGAACAACTGTCGTGGACTTTGCAGCTGGCTTTCAAATCTTCTGGACAATTGTGTGACTTGCACAAAAGGTGCCGTCCTGAGTGGTACCTCTGTGGGTCTGGTCTTTTCTCTGCCTTTGGGGATCAAAACCATAGGTTAAGAACTGGAACTCATTTTGTACTTCATCTGGAAGTATTTGTTTGCTTTACCCAGGAAGTCACACTGCTTAGTCTGAAAATGATATAATGAACTTAATGCCTCCATGTCATTATTTGAAAATTTTCGGGGTGCCTGGGTGGCTCAGTTGGTTAAGTGTCTGACTTTTGATCGCAGCTTAGGTCTTGACCTCAGAGTTCAAGCCCCATGTTGGGCTCCACCCCGGGTATGGAACCTACTAAGAAAAGGAGAGAGGAGAGATGGAAGAGAGCAGAGAGGAAAGAGGAAGGAGAGAAGAGAGGAAAGAGAGGAGAGAGGAAAGAGTAGAGAGAAGGGAGAGAGGAGAGAGGAAAGAGGAAATAGAGAAGAGAAGAAAGAGAGAAGAGAGGAAAGAGGAGAGAGAGGAGAGAGGAAAAAGAGGAGAGAGGAAAGAGGAAAAAGGAGAGAGGAGAGATGAACGAGAGAGGAGAGGAAAGAGAGGAAAGGAGAGAGAGGAGAGAGGAAAAAGAGGAAACAGAGAGAGGGGAGAGAGGAGAGAAGCGAGAAGAAAGAGGAGAGAAGGTGAGAGGAAAGAGGAGACAGAGGTGAGATGAGAGCGAAAAGGGAGAGAAGAGAGGAAAGGAGAGAGACCAAAGAGGAGAGAGGAGAGAAGAAAGACAATTTTCAAGAAGGACAGTACATTGGCAACTCAGGGAGAAGGGCTCACTAATCAAATATAATTCAAGGTTTTTTTATATTCATGACATTGACTAACTGCCTTTTTTGGCAACTCAGGGAGAAGGGCTCACTAATCAAATATAATTCAAGGTTTTTTTATATTCATGACATTGACTAACTGCCTTTTTCTGCTTCAGTTGCCTGTTCAGAAAAAATTGATTCACAGAATCACCCCATCACTGCCCAAGGGAACTCACAGGGTCCTGTTCACTATTTACAATGATGATATTGTTCTGCATCATAGTGTTCACTATTTTCACCTGTTTTTCTATGTTCTAATGACCCACTTTCAAATTACCGATCCTTTTGTCTGTAAACTGGGAATATAATGTAAAAAAAAAAAAAAAAACCCCGCTAATAAAAATTGCAAATTACAAAGGAACATGAGAGTTGAACAAAATAAAAGGGTCACAGCCAAAACAGATTGTCATCCCATCCAGGGAGCAGCTGAGACAAGGTACCAAGTGCACATTCTTGTGGCACACAGGCAGCCTTCAAGAACACGATGGTTATCAAGAACATTACCGAGTACTGCCGTGAACAGTTCCTGAGGAGCTCCAGAGCCCGCTGGTCTGACTTCAAAACAAGGCTCTGCCCCTCACTATCTGTGATCTGAGGCAACCATGCTGAACTCCCCGTGTCCAGGTTTCTCCCCATAAAATAAAGATAATGGCTGGTACCCAACTCCTGCAGCTGGGGGAGGACTGACTTCATGAACTGATCAGAACAGTGCTTGGCCCAGCAGAGGCTGAGAAATGGCAGCTGCAGGTCTATAATGCAGGGTCCTCATCTTACATTTCAGACACGAAACGCAGGTGAGCATCTCTGGTTTGAAACTCCCAAGCCACCTGGGGTCTCTGGACGCATTCCCCCCCCCCCCCCCGCAGAGTATCTCTGCCATGACACACTGTGTTGTTTACTCACCATCTGGGACACAGGTTGCTAAGACAAGCAAGGATGTCTGTTTGGACAACGGACTGTGAACAGTACAGCGTATTTCCTGCGAGAGATCATTGTTCCTCTTAATCAACACTTCAGACATATTGGAGCCATTTTTACACAGTGCCGGAAAGCAGTTCCATGAATAGTTTAAATATTGTGTGAAACTGTAAGATTCTGGGATCCTGCAATTGATTGTAATGTCTTCAGCAGCCAAGGTGCAATTTAGTGTTGGAGACGGAAGAGGACCTGGAGAAAAGAAATGTAATATTTAGTATAGGAAAGAGGAACATTTAGGCTCATCGTCTATGAAGGGATGAAGAGCTCCCAGCTTCCTGATGAACTGGAAAAGACAAACAGACCCCCCTCCTTGAGCACCCAGGGGACAGAATTCCCTCTTCTTCTGGGTCAGATCTTCCTGCTCAAATTCAGAATATACGCAGGCACTAAATCCCTTATCCTCCTTGCAGGAAGCCACGAGTTTCCACAGAATAGCAGCAAAGTCAGGTAGCTGCAAATCCTCATCTGAGCTGACATGAGGATTTAACAGTTTTTGTTTTTTTTCACTTACTTCTTTTTTATTTTTATTTATTTATTTATGTAAAGATTTTATTTCCTTATTTGACAGAGAGCTAGGGAAAGAGCACAAGTAGACAGAGCAGCAGGCAGAGGGGGAGGGAGAAGCAGGCTCTCTGTCGAGCAGGGAGCCTGATGCAGGGGCTCGATTCTAGGGCCCTGGAACCATGACCTGAGCAGAAGGCAGACATTCAACTGACTGAGCCACCCAGGTGCCCCTATTTATTTATTTATTTTTAAGTAAGCTCTACACCCAATGTGGGGCTTGAACTCGTGACCCTGAGATCAAGAGTTGCATGCTTTTCCAACTGAGCCAGCCAGGTGCTCCATATTTTTCTCACTTACTTCAAATATTCACTACCCTGTTGTACTAAAAATGTTCTTGTATTTGAGTATAAGGTGGTCCCCAAAACTAAGTGGGGTGCTTCCTAACATATAGAGAGGAAATAATTCGTATTATTCTACAATCTAAAAATGTTTAATTCCAAAAGATATCTAACTTACAGTGTTTGCAAAGCATGCGTGGAGCCGTGCCGTGAGCGGGTCCTGCTAATAGGCAGAGTAGGGGATGGCACCTGCCACAGGCCTATCAGTCCAGAGGCCTCAGGCAGAGTCTTTCTCTAGCAGGTGCCCCCTACTGGCTACAGCAGCCCAAACCTGCAAGGATGGGTTAAGAACCATAACGCTAGCTTATCCCATTAGACATCCGTGTATTTGTTCATTCATAGGCCTTCTTGCATCTCTACCTTGCCCCAACAACTCACCATAAGATATTGGAGAAAACATGTACAAATATACGGACTCTCCAGAAAATGGTCATGGTAGCATTTGGATAATAAAATTTCAATGCTTTATGAACATCCATAAAAAAGCAAATTAGAGCAAAGTAACATTCATCGAGATGACAGAATACCATGCTGCTATTTAAAATGATATTTTCTAAGGCAAAGGAATGCTTACAATCTAATTATTCATCTAAAATAATCTAAAAACGGGGGCACCTGGATAGCTCAGTTGTTAAGCATCTGCCTTCGGCTCAGGTTATGATCTCAGGGTCCTGGGATGGAGGCCCACATCTGGCTCTCTGCTCAGCGGGGATCCTGCTTCTCCCTCTCCCTCAGTCTGCTGCTCTGCCTGCCTATGCTCTGTCAAATAAATAAATAAAATCTTTTTTTAAAAAAATCTAAAAACGGAAAATATTCAATTCCTCTTTCCCCCCATCTTCTCCAGACTTCTTTCATACTCAGTTAAGTAACACACCCGGTTAGAGACCTGAGTCACCCACGACTTCCCCTTCTGCTTGGGACTTCTTCAGCTGTTCAATTTAATCTAGTTCACATAACTTGTTATGTGTTGTCTGAAAGCAAGCAATGGACTCCTTTCTCCAGATTAAATTGTAAGCCACAGACCAATAGCTTTTAAAAGAGTAAGAGCTGCTGTCGTTGATTCCAAGTTAGCCAGCCCGGAGCTCTCCTCTCTAAGCCTCCTCCAGTCCTTCCTGCCTATCACATGCCCACAGCAGCCCCAGGAAGCACCTTCCTGAGGCCTCAAGTGTCTCTGTGCACTTGAGAACCAGAACTGATGGTTCTACACTCTACACATACCTATGCCTCCCTCTGCAACTAAGCTGGGCCTGAAACTGAGCTTTCTAGTTCCCTGGAAATGTTCCACAGAAGCATTTCTCAACTCTCAGTGGGCACGAGAAGTCACCAGGGGTGTGTGTTAAAATACAGATTCCTGCCCCCCCCGCCCGGCCAAGGATGCTGATGTGGGTGCTCCGAGCGTTCTGTCCCAGATTCTAGTGTAGTGATCTGATTCAGCCAGCGTCTAGGGTTTCGTTCAACACTTTCTGAACTCAACAGTGGTGCCTCACAAGCCCCCTTCGGCTGTACATCTGTGGAAGGTAAGGACTCAACATGCCTCAGCTCTTACCCACGGCGCCTGACCCAACACAAGGCTCACAGGTGGCTCCTCAGTGAGGAGAGAAGACGCTGGACAGAGGGAGGGATTCTCTCCACTGTATAAAAGGTAAACTTCATCGGCTCCCCTCCAAAAAGGAAGGGTGAGGTGGTTAAGAGCCGGACTGCCTGGGTTTAGACCGCAGCATTGCCAGTAAGAGCCACGTGCCCTCGGCCAAGGTACTGAATCCCTGTGGCTAGGTCTCCTCTCCTGCACAACAGGGAAACCAACAGCGCCTCCCCTTCATGATGGGGATGAGGATCACAAGAGGTGACATGGTAATAGCTGACATGGGGACTAACACGCACTGCCTGGCATGGTCACATCAGCTGTAACAGAGCGCATGGTGGGAAGGTGAGCACCCCCTCCACGGGCGTGCATTACACAACCAGAAGCTGGGAGGTGTGCGCTTCCACTCTGGCTGGCTGTGTGACCTTGGCCCATGGCTCTTGTGGTAGCGGGAACATGTTCAAGAAACCAACCAGCCAGGCCCCTTGTTCTATAGATGGAGAAGGAAGCCCATGGCTAAATCAGTCTCATTTTCACCTGTGAAATGGAATGTAATACTCTGAAAGATTGGAAAGGTCTATTGGAGTATGAAGAGAATTTGAAAGGGCCCGCATGGGAGAGCTGGTGTAATTTTGTGTGTTGTTAGAGCGCACGGAACCATCCAAAAGCTCTTTCTGGTGGTCTCACCACAGCATGGCCGCTGGAAGAGCCCGTCCCGCTCACGGGAAAGGATGCAAACCTTCCTCAGGTCTCCCACAGCTCAGATCTCTGCTGAGAATCCTCAGCTTCTCTCACTGCCCACCAGACTTCCCAAGGCCACAGCGAACAAGTATGAGTTACATCTGGACCTCAAGCAGCATGAAACTGACAGGAAACATACCCACTTCATCCTTAAGACAACTCAGTCCATTTACAATGCATGAACCCAGTGCACTGCTCTGTAAGATGGAGAACCGCTTCTACAGATCTGATGATATTTGTGTATTTCTCTTAACTTTAGTAAAAAGTCATACCACTTCAGATCGTTTAAGGATTGAGTAGTTAATTCTACTTATATGAACATCACCACCTTTAATGCAGCTAACGAGAGAAAGCACTAATAAACACTGGTGGTGGAAATTTGAAGGGGATTTTGAGGGAAGAAGGAAGCCAAATACGAACTTACACACAAGGAAGTGGATGGCCTGAATTGAGGGGGTGCCAGGAAATCCCCCTGCCTAAAATATCCTTTCTGAAAATCTCCCTTTAGGTCTGGTGTCTCCGGAAGATCATCAAGTCACTTAGGTATTAACACACCCTGAAGGAAGTAGGCCTTCCTCATTTCAAAAAAAAAAAAAAAAAAAAAGTATGACCAATCATTTTGTCATTCAGGTGTTAAATCCTGAGTCATCTTATGTCTTTTTATAACCCAAATCTAAATTCGCTTGACTCTTTCTTAGAAGTATCTTCTCTTTCTTTCCTTTCCCAACATCTACCAGCAACACCTGTCTCCCTAGAAGATCATAGTCACTTCCAACCTGGTGTCCCCCCTCTCTAATCCACCGTCAATACCTACCATCTGATTAATCATCTGAAAATAGAGTTCATCAAGTCATTTCTTTGCTCCAGGATCAGATCCAGTGGGTCCTCAGTGTCACAGGCTAAAAGCCAGACTCTCGAGCCAGGACTTGAGGTCCCACCCTTAATGCTGCCCACATCACTGCCTCCTGATCAACACTCACCTCTCTTGGGCTCTGCAGGTCTTTGCTAACGAGGCTTCCTAAGAGCTATTCAGTTGGGCTGACTCCTGAAATCATGCACCTTAGTTGAATGACCATGGAATTTTAAAAATCAAATTATTTTTAACCATTTCATCAAGTTTAAAAAGTTAAACATATCCAAAAGTCTGAACACAGTTTTACAAACTCTTATGAAAGGGCTCTTCAAACGTTTTCCATTGTTAGCTAAATACGAAATCAATCTTTTTAGTTACTGGCTCTATAAACAGCCAGATCCCCAACCTGCATGTTTTATAAATTCTGCTTCTCCAAAGGCATGCACTGGTTCACCTGATGGGATGCCTCCACACCTTAACAAGCCTCACTCTTCTAAATGGAGTTAATCATCTTCTGGACAAACCAGCCACCCAGCCTGAAAGCCCCCATTTCTGTCAACTCCCCCTCCCACCTCCGGGTCGCCTGGTTCAATTGCTTTCATTACTATAATAAATATTTATTGAACATCTAGTACCTGAGTTCTAGGGCTACAATGATAACAGGAGAGAAATTCTCTCTTCTTCCTAGTGTCTCCAACAGACCAGGCAGGTGAACTTGTGAATAATAGCTACTCCCCCAGCTCCTCATCCCCTCCCATTCTACTGACACTACCTCAGACAGGACTTGGAGAGCTCAGACTTGAAGTTCTACACTGGACTTTCTGCCTCTTCTCCCTTCCCTGCAAACCATCTTACACACTTTGCTACGAGATGGATCTTTCTAGAACACCTCTGGCGTAGAGGAGGTAAGGCTAGAATGACACCTTCTCCTAGGAGAGAACAGTGAACCCGGGACCCAAGAGAGGGCCAAGATGGGTACGGGTTGAGCTGGCAATGCTGAGGGGCAGCACAGAAAAGGCAGCCAAAGTCAAGGGCAACACTAGGATGCCCAAGAACAGAAAGAGGTGATCATGGATGCCAGATCTCATACAGCCTTGCACTATAGATCTTAGCTTTAGCTCCGAGTGAGATGGGGCCACTGGAAGGTTCTAAGCTGAAGAATGACACGCTTTGACCTCTGTTTTAAGATCACTCTGGCTGCTTGCATTTAAAAATAAACTGTGGTCATAATACATGTAAGTCAAATCATTATGCTGTATACCTCAAACTTATACAGTGATGCAGGTCAATTATAAAACTGGAAAAAAATTAAATGTAATTAAAGCTGAAAATAACACAAAATGCCTCCTGTTCAGGGGCAATGGTAGAAGCTGGGTGACCAGTTAGACAGTCGCTGCAGTCCTCCGGACAAGGTTGAAGGAGCCCTGGCTCAGCCCCGGAGGAAGTGGCGAGAGGTGGTCAGAGGCTGTAAAACCAGCAAATTTCCTGGTGGAATAAACATGGTGTTCGAGAGAAAGAGGAAGAGAAACATGGTGTCGAAGATGACATCAAGGCTTAGCCTGAGCAACTGGGAAGAAGGAGCCGCCATTAACCAAGCGCGGGGAAGACTTGGGGAAGAACAGGATTCAAGGGAAAGTTGATGAGCTCACTATCCTCAGACAGGCATCCAAGTGGAAATCCAGAGGAAGCAGCTCAAAACACACGTCAGTGGGGCCCCGGGTCAGAGCTCTCAATCTGTGTTATCAGTACCAAAATAATATTTAAAGCCCAAAGCCAGGATGAGCTCACCCAGCTGGGGGTGAATGCAGGCAGAGAAAGGTGGCTCAGGCCTTCAGGTCTCCAAGGCCTGCAGGTGGGCAAGATGAGCGAACCAGCCAAGGAACCCGGGAAGGAACAGCTAGTGAGCAAACAGAACGCCAGAACGGGGTGGGATCCTGGATGCCCACAGAAGGTCGTGTTTCAGAAGAGACAGGGATCCGCTCTGTCGGATGCTGCTGAGTGGGCAAGAAAGATGTGGTGGGGAGAGCACGAATGGATTACCGGTATTTTTTAATGAAATCAAGAGTTCGGGTGAAAGCCTGGGGTGATGAAAGCCCGTTTGGGGTGGGGGGAAAAGTAAAAAGAAGAAAAGGGGTTAAAAAGCAAACATAGATAATCCTTCATGGAATTCTCTACAAACTCAAGATGGCAAGTGGATGGTAGCTGGAGGGGTGAGGGAGGGGGCATCCGGGGGCTCCTGGTGCTGGTGTCAATGTTTGACCGCATACTACGTATGACAGTTGGGTCCATGGAGGACTCTGCTGCAGGAACAGGGCAAGGGCAATGACTAGGGCGATGTCCCCAAGGGCAGTGGCAGGAAGAGGGCTTGGGGTACAGCAGAGGGCCTAGACCTCTGTGAGCAGGGTACTGGTGCTCAAGGCAGGTAGGCAGGAAGGCTGAGGGTGACAGCCTGTGGAAATTCTCCTCTAAGTGCTTCTCTTCCTCAGTGAAACAAGATGCAAAGCCTTCAGCTGAGGAGTGGGTCTGGAGAAGAGGGTCTACGAGGCTTGAGGAGAGGAAGGATAATTGCTAGGACACTGGGGGACATACTGGATTTGACTGAGGCAAGTGACCAGAAGCTTCATGTGTGAGGCTCTGTGGGGCAATGAGTTTCTCTACAGCCACAGTGTGTTAGCACAAAACAGGGAGCGCACTGGACTGGACCTGGCCACACAGGCCACAGGAGTACAGCCCATTTAAAAAGGGTGCCTGGGTGGCTCCAGTCATGATCCCGGGGTTCTGGGATCGAGCCCCATGTCAGGCTCCCTGCTCAGCAGGGAGTCTGCTTCTCCCTCTCCCTCTGCTCCTGCCCCTACTCTATCTCCCAAATAAATAAGTAAAATCATTAAAAAAATAATTTAAAATATTAAATTTAAAAAATTAAATTAAAAAAATTAAAAGGAGCAAGGAAACTAACCAAATCTTCCAATGCTTGGCCCAGTGAGTGAGCACATTTGGGCTGCCTAAGGAGGATAGGAGGTCACGCGAGGTAAAGGGACAGCAGAGTTGGCAGAGCAGGGGACACTTGTCCTGACACAGTGGAGGGCTCAGAATGAGTGGTGATGACAACTTCTAGGTTCTATCCGTGGGGAAAGGCAGTGGAGGAGGTGGATGGAGGACAAGACCCTCACAGGAGAGGAGACTGGGGACTCAGAAGCCAGGATATTAGAACAATATATTTAAATATTATAATCACTAAGAATTATGACAGCAGGAACATAAGAAACAGCAAAAGTGGGCCAGGCTTTCCAATGATCCAGAAATGTTGGGATGTATCCAGGAGCCTACAGATGACAAGGAGAATGACCTGGAAGCATCAATGGGAAGTGTGGAGGAAGAAGGACTCCATCTCACATTCCCGTGTAAAGTGATAGAGGAGAGAAAAAAATCCACCTCCTGGGGTGCGGTGCAGGTGCACACTCTAATTTCCAGAGCATCATCTCTCAGTGGAGCTCAGAGTTCTGAGTTCACTGCTGCCACTACATCCCTTTCCAGAATATTCCCAGCAAGACAAGCAATGCTGCTGGCAGCAGCTCCACCCAGCTGGCCTCCATCTCCATCACATCCTCTCCTCACTCAGAGGATGACGAGGGGACGGACACTGGTGTGCCTGACAGCCTAAGAGATCCAAGTCTCTTATTTCTCAGAAACCATTCATTTGTGTTCGTCTCTTAAAATAGTTGGACAGTTGCCATTTGAAACAAACCAATTTATGAAATAAAGTTATGGAATACTCACCAATCACCTTCAGAGTGAACGAAGTGTCACCAGTGCTCGAAGAATCCAGTTTATAGTCCCCCTCATCCGAAGATGTTAGGTTGAAGATGGTAAGGCTTCCTGATGTGGTGTCTAAATGAACTCTGTCTACAAAAGGTGGGAAAACTCTCACGGGAGAGTCTGCTTCCCATTCAAGGACTTTATCCCTATTTTTTGTCCACATAATCTCAGTAAAGGGTACAGAGCTTGATACAGGGAAAGTTACGCTCCCGTTCACAGTTCCAAACATCGGGGAATTACAGCTGATGGAGTCTAGGAGGGGAAAAAGAAATTGGTTAGGAAAACGAACACGATTGGTTTAAAGTAGAAAACCATCCTCCAAGATGCTCTTTGCGGGGGTGGGGGAGGAGAGATTTTGCAGTAAAAATGATTCATCAGCTACTTTTTACACTAAGCAGATAAATGGCTGATGGCAAACACAGCTCACGGAAGGCGGGAGTTTCCTCTCTCATGGGGGCGCTGCGGCCCACATACACGAAAGAAACAGATTCAGCTTCGATGGAGCACCAAGTCCCCTTTGGGAACTGTGGGCAGCGCAGGCCCTCCAGAAGCCCCACTGTGTGGGGAAGACAAAGCAGGCATAGGGAGCTACCTCCTTGAGGGCCTTCCCCAGGAAGTCATGCTGATGCTCACAGGAGGCATCACCCAAGGCCTGGGGGAGGAGGGGAGGAGAGGTAATTGAACTGATAGAGGAAGCGGAGCCTCCCCTCACCAGCCCCCGCCAAAAAAAAGCAGGCCCCGAGTGGAGAAGGAGCTGGGTGTGTTTGAGGAAATAAAAGCAGCTCCCCATCGCTAGAGGAAGCAAGCAAGTAGGTCACAGGTTGGGGGTGAGGCTGGAGGGGCAGGCAGGGCCAGACCACAGCAGTTGTGAGTTGGGGCCTGGGGGTGTCAGGTAAGACAGGCTCAGGGCTTGGGATGGATCCTAATGGCAAGCGAAAGCCACAGGACGGTTTTCTACGCAAGACCAGTGACATCATTTAGACCAGCTGACACGGCCTGCAAAGGGGACAGTGGTGGCCCGGAACAGGCATGCAGGCAGGGCAACCGGAATCGAGGTCAGTGCTGGAGCAACTAGAGGGTGGCCGCCTGGGCGGGCCAGAGCAAGGTCTGGAGGAAGGGGACAGACAAAAGCGCAGACTCAAGAGCAGCTAGGGACAGAAAGCACCAGGGTTTAGTGACTGGAGGTGCAGACGAGGGAGAGGGGGCGTTAATGGACTGGTCAGGTGTCCTTCTTGGCTGACTGACGGGCAATTAGTGGAGATCAGAAACAAGGACTGGGAAGCAAGCGGAGACACTCAGGACACAGGACTGGGTGGACTGGGTTCAGTGGCGTGGGGAGCATGGGTGAGCTGTCTTCAATTGTCCCTCCTCGCGAGTCAACTTTTAGCATCTGTGCCCGACCCCGTGCAGCCAAGCCTGGCTGAGAGCCTGAAATCCACACCGTGGGAGTATCCACAGCAAAGGAACTAAGGCTTCAGAGACTCCCGCCTACTCGCCCCCAATCTGGCTGTTGAATATTTACTACCACCACTAGACTGAGATATTCCCGATACCCCAGAATGGGTTTAAATGCATCTGGTTCCGGACTTGACTTTCCTGTTCAGAGAGAAGAGCAGCTGTTAAGGGAAAGACATTAACGATAAATTAAAACTTGAAGTTTTTGCCTAGTAGCAATCAGGGTAATTGAAAGAACATGGGGAAAAAATCAAGACTATTAAATAGACCGATGGTAGGCAGCCGTGTTCAGTAATTTCAAATAAGAAGTAAATAGGGCCCGTTCGCCTATTGCGAGGATTTTGAAAACCCATCTCCCTTAATTAAGGGGGACTGCCCACAGGAATTCACCAGCAGCCTTGTTGGGGTGCTGGTCGCTCGACAAGACCACGTGGGAGGGTGGATGAGAGGGGCAAGATGTGAGGAGAGACGGTCTATCCACACCCACTGGTGGAGACCTGAAATGTCTTGTGTGTGAATGAATGCAGGAGTGGGGAGGGCAGTGGGGGAAGAGAAGCGGTATGAGATGACCCTCGGCTGCCATCTTCCCAGGGAGAGGCCATGTCTCCTGGGCTTGAGAACAGGAGGACGGAGCAAGTCGGGAATGGAGCCAGTGCTGGCAGAAAGCATGGGAAGGGAAGGGGGAGACCGGCTCCAAAAAAGCCAGTTTTGAGCTGGAAGAAATTCTCAAAATCTTTTAGTCAGACCATAAGGGCGTATTCAGCCAGAGCGGCCCCACCCCGGTTCAACTGCCATTTTGTTGTAAAACTTAAATTGACTCCCCCTGCCCTCCCCACCCAGGGGAACTTACTTAAAAGCAAGTCTGGGAAACCTGTCCCAGGCAACAAAGCCCAGATACAAGGGTGGGTCAGGCCAAGTGGAGGTATTCAATCAGTGGGGGCGCACACTGTCTCCCTAGTTACCAAGGAGTATGGCCCCCGCCCTTTGGGAGCCTTTTGGCGCCAATCCTAACCAAGGTGTGACAGGCTGGTTCCAATGTCTACTAGGGTAAATTGTAATTCAGTTGGCTGCCTAGCATCACTGTGGAGTTTCCTGTGTGTGTTACAATCACCTGTGTGTGGCCAGACCCAACCACATGGCCTTTGCTCTATAAAAGTTACTCTGGAAAGCAGGGAGGGGTCATCCTCTCTGGAGGGGTGGCCCCGACCTGTCTGTTTGACGGTCAGATTCCTGATGCTTGGCGCGAAATAAAGCTTTGCTTGACCTTCGCTTTGTATCAGTCTCGCTCCTTTAATCACGGACCCATTATTGGGGGATCCAATTTTGGGGGACCCAACAAGACAACACCCCATCTCACGGGTGAAGTGACAGGGTACCAAGAAAACTGAAGGACAAGGTCACCGAATGCCTCCTCACTGCCCGCGGTGCATTCCCACACCCTCGTGTCCCTTCGTAACACCCGTCACACACACCGCAGCAGTGGCGCCGACCGGGCCGCACAGAGGAGCAAACAGTCTTCACAGTCACTCTGCAGACTCAGGGCGGCAGAGGGCCGGGGAACGCAGATTTCCCGACTCTTGTGCCCCACCCCACCCCTTTCACAGCAGGCTCATTCTGGAAATATTTGCTCTGCAAGTACCCACTGGGCAGCTCTACGATGTGGAGACCCCCACCCTCCACCCCCAGAACATGACAGATGCAGTCCCAGCCTCTCAGAGCTTACTTTTTGTTAGCAAAGTCAGACTTGATCCAAATAATTGTACCAGGGGCGCCTGGGTGGCTCAGTGGGTTAAGCATCTGCCTTCAACTCAGGTCATGATCCCAGGGTCCGCGGATCAAGCCTCACATCAGGCATCTTGCTCAGCCGGGTGCCTGCTTCTCCCTCTCCCGCTGCCTGCTCCCTGCTCCCCCTGCTTGTGCACACTGTCAAATTATTTAATTAATTAATTTTTTAAAACCACAAATAATTGGACCAATGTCCTGCTGCAGCTGTGCTCAGGGCCAGCAAGTAGAAACACAGGGTGTCACTAAAGAGCACCCACTTGGGGAGCCAACGAGGGGTTAGAGACGGCTTGTGAAGAATGAGGAGCAGCAAGTGCCACCAAGTGGGGTCGGGGGGAGCAGGCCCCTGTTCAGGGATACAGGTCCAGAAGGCAGGAGGGCAATGCCATGAGACAAGAGGAGCTGGTGGGCTGCACGCGCAGGCAGAGCCCAGGCCTTGCAAGGCCTCAGATAAAATTCTGCCCTGTATGTTGAGAGGAGAATGCTATCAAAGAGTTTTAGGCAGGATGGTGACAAATAAGACGAACTCTTTAGTTAAAAAATGTGTTTAAAAACAAAACATACATAGACACATAGATATAATTTTATATAGATGCAGAATGGAGATATAGACATTTAGCACAGTCTTCTCTGACCTGTGTGGGTGTGTGTGCCTTGGATGCCTTACCCCATCTCCCAAGCCCTCTAACCACCCTCAGTCCAGTAATTTCCATTAACAACTCAGAATATACCCTTTTTTTCCCCTCCCTGCTCAGATCACCAAATAGAGACAAAGATGCATCACACATAATGCATATATATATATCTATATCTATAGATATCGATATCTATAGATATCTATAGATATAGATATATATATACAAAATTATATGCCTGGTCATGATTTAACAAAAACGGTCTTATGCATACTTCTCCACATCTTGCCTTTCCCAGCAAGAGTACCTCATAGAGGTCACACCAAATCCACTGGTAGGGCAAGACTTTCATTCCAGGGTGTGAATGAATCATTATTAATCAGCTATCCACCACTGCTGGTCCCTAGTTTCTTCTACTACAGTAACTGTCACAACCATACCTGTGTCCAGGTTCTTGCATATTTATGGCTTTGTATCTATGGGACAGTGTCCCTGGAGTGGGGCTAAATTAGAGGGCAACATATTCTTTATTTAAAAGAAATTTTTAAAGATTTTATTTATTTGACAGAGAGAGTACAAGCAGGGGGAGTAGCAGGAAGAGGGAGAAGCAGGCTCCCCACTGAGTACTGAGTCTGATGTGGGGCTTGATCATAGGATCCCTGAGCTGGAGGCAGACACTTAACGGACTGAGCCACCCAGGTGCCCCAGATTTTTTAATAGGCACTGCCACAATGCTTGCATTTGAGATTTACATTCTGATCCGTAACATCTGAGTTACCTTTTCCTTGCACCCTGCAAGCATCCAGCGATCTTTTTTTTTTTTTTTTGCACATTTAATTATCAGGCACAAAGTGACATCTCATTGTTCTCTGAATTTGCATTTTCCTGACCTCTAGAAATTTAAGCATCTTTTCTGTTTTTTGGTAGTTTGGATCTCCTTTTCTGAGAATTGTCCTTTTGTATCCTTTTGTTCTATTTTGTTCTATCCTATTGTTCTATTGGCTAGCTCGTCTTTTTTTCATCAGAGTTTATGAGTTCCTTGTACGTTATAGAAATTTTTGTTATCTATATTATGATTCTTCTCCAAGATGGGTGGTTGGTGTCATTCCCTAAGACAGGGGATGTGAAGGGGAGCCAGCTGGGGCAAGAAGATCCTACTTTCAGATGCCAACACTGGGTGGGGTCTGTAAGACTCCCAGGTGGAGATGTCCAGTAGGCTGCTGGGCACACAGGAGAGGATACAGACTTGGGGATCATTACATTTGTAGTGGCTACTGTCTAGCATTCCCTTCCCACAGTAAACTCTTTTCCACTGCACTTCCAAGACTAACCCTGAAGTAAGCTGCTGATAGGATAACTGACAATGAAAAAGAAGAATAG